AAATCTCCAACTGGAATGAACGTGCTCCACTCAAACTCTCCATTTTCCCTCTCTCTCTCTCTTTTATACACTGTCCTGCACACATGCACAAACACACACATGCACACAGAAAGTCAGGATATTTATATATTTTAGCTTTTGTGTATTTGTCAGCGGTGCCAGCATGTGGGGTGACTTACAGCAGGGTGCAGAATGAAAGCGAGCTAGGGGAGCTTGAAGCAGTGTTTTCTCTACAGCTCAGACTAGTCTGGCTCTGCTCGGCCCTCTTGCTGCTTCAGCTCCCTGCAGACTGACACCTGACTACTACAGGGACTCATCCATGTACTACTGTAGCAGTGGAGCTGGTACGGCCGCCAGAAACACAGCCCTCGCAAATTAAACACGGCAATAGTCTCTCAACATTTGCTCTCTATTTCTTTCTGACTGTGTGTCTCACCAAATTCCCCTCATCCTATTCTGCTGCGTTGCAGCCGCTTATTTTCTTTCGTTCACCTGCAGTGATGGAAGAGGTGCTCAGACCCAGAATTTCATGCCACAGTTATTGCGGCAAAAACCATCATAGGTAAAATGTATTGTTGCAATGATAATCAGAATTTCCTAGAAAACCATGAGTGCTAAAATACAGGTTCATACTGTTTTCTCTGGATTTCTATCACCCGGCAGTGAATTGTATGTTGCACCTAACATTACTAACATAAAATGCACTTGAAACAATAGAAACAAAAAGAGGGATTTAAAACATGAATTTATGTGTTTGAATTAGGTGTTTATAAGTTGAAATGTATTGAATTGTTTGTATAAATGTTACTGCTGCACACCTATAAAATAGCGCTGTATAAGCTACATCCACAGTAACTACAACTGGTGACCTTAGTTTTGATCACTGTTTTTCTCCTCTGGATTATTAAACGTAAAGCTGTTTATAATGTCAGACAGTAATCAGACTTATTGGTAATGTGACAGTGTTTCACTGACTATTGACTATTATAATATCATTCATATATTGTCAGTAAAAAACCCAAATTCTCATATGGAAAAGAAATGTAAGAAAACCTTTGGCATTTTTAACATTTAATATACAATCATGTACGTTTTCACTGGACTCTATGCAGGTCTTTGAAAATCTAAGTACATCCTTCTGTAGCTCTTAGAATCACTTATAGCAGCAATAGCTTGAATTCATTGTAACTATTTTTACATTAGTTCAGGTCTGTGTGATTTGAGGGTATCTGTTTGTGTGAGCCAAGATTTAAATTCGGCCGAGTTTTAGCTGTTACGGTCGCTCATATGACTTTAGAACATTTTGGCATTCAGAGGACTTTGTGGTTGAATCAATGACTGTAAGGTACAGAGGTCCTGTGGCTGCAAAACAAGCCAAAATCATCAGCACTACACAACTGTGCCTGCTAATTGGTATGAAGTGTTTTTTTTTAAGGTGCTGTGTTTTGTTTCTGCCGACGGTGGTGGTGCTGTGGATTACGGTTAAACATCTTCCACTTTAGTCTTGGCTGTCCAATTGTTCCAGAAATTTTGTGGTTTGTTCAGATCCAACTTTGCAAATCTGTGCCGTGCTGCCATGTCCTTTTCAGAAAGAAGAAGCTTTCTCAGGTAACCCTTCCAAACAACCACACTTGTTCAGTCTTGGTCTTATTGTACTGTCAGCTCTAACTGTTAACATGCTCACTGAGGCCTGTAGAGTCTGAGCTGTAGCTTTTGGGCTTTTTTGCTGTTTCTCTGAAGATTGCACATTATGACCTTGGAGTGAATTTTCTGTGATGTCCACTCTCTTTAAGGTTGTGGCTCTGTGTTAACACTCACCTGAATGCTTTGATCGGTGACAAAGGGCTGCTGCTTACTATCCTAATTCCTGTAGACTCAATAAGAGTGTACTTAGTTTGCTACAGAACTGCTGCTATGAAAATTTTTATTTTTCACGACTGGCCTCTTCTTCTTTTTTATCTTTCAGTCACTCCCTTTAGAGGTCCCCACAGTAGGGTGCCTTCATCTCACCCTATCACTAGCATGCTCTTCTGTCACATCAACCCTCTGAATGTCCTTCTTCATTACATCCATGAATCTTCTTGGTGGTTTAGCATTACCATCCAGTAAATCTTTTCTTGTTATCTTTCTGTCTTTTTTACACAACTGTAATTCTAAAAATAAACATTTTGCTGTATAAAAAACTAGCAAAAAAGAGGCTGCATTAGTGGTACATGAGACATATGACTCTTTGTCGTTTTTTTCTACTTCTTTTGTCTTTGGGAAATAGTAACCATATGCAAAAATGACCTTTTATGTATGATAGAATATATTTTATTATATGCACCACATTAGAGACTAGTTTTTGACATACAGTGTGAGTAGAATTTTAATGGTGCGGTTAGGTGAGATAATTAAAAATACCCACTTTAATGTTGGGAGCTTATTTGACAGCAATGAGGCATATTTGTTTTACAGTGTGTTACACATTTTGTTTGATAATTATATTCCAAAAAACAAACTATTTGATGTCAAACACACGTAGTGAAAGGAAAAACACACATTTCCCTTTAAATATAGTGCAAGTATGAAGTAACTTAGATTAAAAAATACTTGAGAAAATTGGAAGTACTTCAGATTGATACCTGAGTACAGTCCTTGAGGAAATATACTTTTTCACCGCTGCCTTTCTGTCTCTATACTCCTCTGCGTCTCCTCCTGCAGAGACACTTTCCAATCTCTTCTCTCTGTATTCAATTTTGCTCTTTTATTCCCTCATCGTCACAAGCCTATTCCCTCGGTTTGATTTTTTTCTCTTATTCTCCTCTTATTCTACTTCTATCGCAGATTTCCATCTTCTTCCTCACTCCCACTATTCCTCTCCTTGGAGTACAGAAACTATAATCTTCTCTGTCCAATGCTGTCAATAGCTCTCAATAACAATGAAATAGCACCAGTTCCTCCCCATCACTGATGAAGGCATAGCCTCAGTTCGGATCTTATTCGTCATCAGGGCAATCTGCTTCTTGGTAATAGCCAATCAAATGGCTCCTGTGAAATGCAGCGCTCCCATGATAGGTTCCCCATTGTTTTGATTGACTGCACCTGAGGGCCCGCCACTTCGGCTGGCCTCGATCAATACCCCATCACGCACACGAGGAAAGCGCACGCTCATACATGCACTGGAATAAACACAGGGACACGCACACGTGCACACACACAATTTGGTGAAGAGTAAATTGAGAAGGAAACCACTGGTACGGCAAGCAAACAGAATACAATAGTAAAAGCCAGCAAAATGGAGTACTTGCAGCACCACGCACAGTTGCGTTACAGCAGTGTGCCACGCTGAGCTCGTTGTGCGCTCAACTTTGAATTCGTGCACACAAACATGATGACAAGGAGGAACTTTAAACTGTTGGTGAACTACTTACTAGTTTCCATCTTTGCCGTGACACACTGTGTTGAACAGGAATGATTTATGGAAAACAATGAGATGGAAAATTGCTCCCATATTGTGCCTCTTATTCTATGTTGTGTCACACATACAGATGGCCTCGCATAAGCTCTGCCTCTGTTCACTTTGAACTACAGCGACCATAATGAGAGCGGCACAGCCATCTGCACGGTATGGTGTATGTTATTAGTATTACAAACATGTTGACGCGCACATTTGCCCACCCTTCGATTGCGAGACATGTAAAGTCAGGCAGGATGAATGGGAGGTCGGTTATTGCATAAAGAGCAAAGAAAAAGCAGAGGAAAGGGGAAGTGTGGCTGGTTCAGAAGACTGTGAAGATAGATTCAAAGCAGAGGGTTGCAGATTTTTTTGATGTGCTTTAAACATCAAAGTCAAACGAGTGTTGGAAAGGTGAGTGAGGTAAAAAAACAAAGATAACATGGACATCTCAAAGTGAATATGGCTATTAAAAAAAGGACAGAAGGTGGAGGCGTTTTTATTCAACAAAGACAATCCTCGTGATCTGTGTCTTTGATGCAGACACAGTGTATGCTCCAATAATACCAGCTCACCCCTGCATGCATTCGTCAGGGTCTCAGGTCAGTCCCTATGAATCCATCAGCCCCCGTTCTCAGCTGCAAGGGTCAATTCAAGGTCCTGAACCTGAGTGTCCCCGCTGTCTGTCAAGACCTCAGACCAGTGAACGAGATGCTTGAAACAATCCCAAGTCAACACCCTCTACCACCATAACCTCCTCACCAACACCCCCCTCCCCCTCCCCCTAGCCTGGCTGTCACACAGCACTCCTTCCCCTCTCCTCTGTCTTCATCCCTCCCTTCATCTCTCCATTCTTTCACACCGCCTTGTCATGTTGTCAGTCAGAGCAAGGATGTGTCACTCCTGGAGAGAGCTGCTTAGCACCACTGGAGCTCAGCTGAGCTCCGTTTCTTTCTTTGTGTTTGTGTGTCTGTTTGAAGGTTGTGATGGAGGTTAGGTTACAAAAAAAACACGTAAATGCGTATCTTGTGTAGTGGGGGTGTAAGGAATATACATACACTGTTCAAGGCAGTTGTCTTTGTCATGAACTCTGTGTTTCTAGCGTATTGACATATCTGTGTGTTTGCATTTGTTTGCGCTTGTGTATATATGTGTGTATGTACAATAAGGATGTGCATGACTGACTGCGTGACATCTTGCGTGTCAGCTGTGATGTTTTCTTTGAACTGCCTCTGGAGATCCCTTCAAGGATGGATCCTGTCACTTCTAAACGGCAGCCTTTCCACAGGAGACGTGAATAGAGCTGTGTGTACTGTATTTTATGATTAGACAGGCTGTATGCATAGGACTGGGCTGCCTTGTGAAGTGACAGTGAACATCTTCATAGCTGATTTTTTATTGTATGTGCTGTCGAATTACAGGTGCTTCCACTCCGTGGGAATCTGACAGTGCAAATTGAAGATGAGCTAAATCATGACAATTTGAAGAGAGACCTCTTTAAAGCCAGGACAGTGATTTTTTTTTTTTGTGAAGTAACATGTCATGCATTCCTCCGCTCCTGCAGGTGGCGGTACAGGCAGCCAGCAGACCATTCTCCATGAGGAGCAGTAGAAGATGCCGGCTCTGCCAGCACTGCTGCTGTCAATACACTTCCTCTCCTTCCTGCTAGTCACCATGCCGCCACGCTCCCTCAGTCAGGCCCCTCTGCTCTCCTCTGTCCGCATGGGTGAGTGGCCACCTGTCCTGCCATATCCACATAAAGGGGTCAAACAACTCTCATCAAAGACACACTACTTCTTCTTCTTCTTCTTCTTTTTTGTTGTTCTATATTGTTGTTCTCTATATGTGGAAATTACACAAATTCTATTGTTTTCTCAGTATTTCTGAGCTATTCGAAGGATGCTGTCAATCGGCACCACACCACAACTCATCCGTGCCCAAAATTAATATCATGGCAAAAGGAAACTTCTTGAAGAGTGTTCCATCTATCTATGCATCCATGTATCCATCCATCCGGTTCAGTTCAGTTGACTTCCATTCAGTTCAATTCATGAAGTGCCAAATCGCAACAGTAGTCACTTCAAGCCATTTTTTTAATATTGTAATGTAAAGACCCCACAATAATACAGGGGGGGAAAAAGACAATCAAAAAACACCCTGTGGTGGGGCATGGTTTGCGGTGCCGTGCGGACGCACCTGCACGGCATCCGCAATCACGCCCGCCGTGTTAAAACACGGGGACTCAGGGGTTGGTGGGTGTGTGGTGTGACGTGAAGTAAATAAAGTTGGCTCTGAACGTTGCTCCGTGGTCCCGCCGTGCCTTATTCACGCCACACACCCCTTTAAGCAAACACTTGGCAACAGTGGAAAGGAAAACCTAACAGGAAGAGACATCCGCTAGAACCAGGCACAGGCAGGGCAGCCATCTGTGTAGAGTTGAGGGACGAGAGAAGGGACAAAAAAACCACACCATGGAAGGGAGCCAGTGATTAATAATACTAATGATTAAATGCAGAATGGTGTGTAAACACATAACGAGAGATCCATCCAATCATCCATCCATCCATCTTCTTTAGTACCTACTTCCATAATGCAAGAGGAGGTATACAGCCTAGAGAAGTTCCCAGTCTATTACTGGGGCTAAAGGTGTGCCAGCATATGGTAAATGTGTAAAGTAATGTTATCATCCACGTACAAATGTGTGCTGAGGCCTTGATCCAGGTTCATAGTTAGTAAAGGTACACTTGGTTGCTTCCTTATTTCCCACAGCAGATGGATCTACATGGGCTTGGGACCAGCATTAGGAGTCCACTAACCTGTGACCCTCTGAGGCTGGCTTTGTGTCTCCCTCCAGTCTCAAACCAGGCACCACCTTGAGCCACTTAGATTTATCGTTAATAAAACAGAATCATATTCAGTGAAAAAACCCAAATGATGATAATATGTGTCCTCTCATGTAGCGCTCAGAAGCAAATCAAATAAGCACATTTCCCAAAATGTTTGATTTATGATGTTGTTTGCATCTGGCACACATACTAATCTGAATGAGGACGAGTACCTCATTCCTTTGGCAGTCGGTGGCTGTGATCCCTTTATCAGCCCCACTTGTCCACCCACTACACATTCCCACATTTACATGAGGATGGATAATATTGTTAACTCGTCTTCCAGCTTTACGCCTTGTTATGTTTTTAGCTTTCTCCTCACCTCCTCACTACTCATTCTCCCACTCTCCACTGCCCTCCATCTTCATCCATCCATCCATCCTCTCCTCTACTTCACCTATCTCTCCCTCTCTAGCTGCAATCCTGGATGACCAGTCTGTGTGTGGGCGTGGGGAGCGGCTGGCGCTGGCCCTGGCCAGGGAGAACATCAACAGCGTGATGGAGGGTCCAGCTCGAGCCCGCGTGGAGGTGGACATATATGAGCTGCAAAAAGACTCCCAGTACGACACTACAGACACCAGTGAGTGGTGTGAGAATGACCACTGTGGCAGAATCACATTCCAGCAAACACTATTGTCCACTGGGACATAATGCCCCACAGAGAGTGAAAACTGGGGATACAAGAAGGTTTTATTGGTAGTCTTTAATATTAACAGTAATAGTGACAAATAGAGAGAAGAACCAGGAGCAGCAATATTGCAGTACTTTAATTCTAAAACACTTCAGAAATGTGCTGTTATAGAGTTATAAATACATAAGATTGCATTTTCTCAAAAGCTGCCTCTTTAAAAACAAAAACCTCAAATGATACATAGGGTGATAAAACACCAGCACTTTCATGCGATTAGGAGCCAGTAAGGGATTTTGCTGATTAGTTTACATGTCATTGGAGACCAGTAATGGGCCACTAAGACTGTCTCATTAAAAACAGTGGACCTGTGCCCTCCAGTAACAGCTGGCGCTGTGTGCTGTGCAGACCATGATGAAAACAAATCATCAAATACTAATACAGATCAGCAGTACAGGCAAACAGAACGCAGCAGAGAGGCTGCTTCATGAAAACTGTATTGATATAGAGAGTGTGCAAAGACAGAAGGAAGCACTGCTGAATCCAACCACTGAAGAGATAGAAACCCTGCTCCTATTCTAATCGGTCAGCGACCCTGCCACAAGCTACTGGCAAAATGTCTGTGTGTGCTTGAGAAGGGTTGTGTACATATGTGCATGCTTGAGTTGCAGGGGTGTGTGTATGTGTGTGTCCTTGACCAATGGGCAGGAGACTCTGACAGGCTTGTTTGCTCAAAGCATTTTTTGGTCTCTGGATCAGAGAGCTCGTCATCTTACGGCTACAACTGAGGCGCGCATGCACACACTCAACCCACACAGGCCTTTACACATGCATGCACACACAAACCCTCTCTGCAGACGCTTATGCACATTCACACACAGGCACAATATGAGCATATACTGTAAGCTCGCACATTGGAATCAATTAATACAACAAGCTAATACACAGTAAAGGAAAATAATCACAGTTTAGTCATCAGGCATTTTTGATGTGTCTGTGAATAATTTTTTAGATGGATTCACAAAAACATTGTCAATAAAAAAAGAGCTTAGCAGGGATTAAGAGAGAGAGTACAAAAATCTGTCAGTAGGTATTTTTTAGCCTCTCAGTGGATAGTATTCCCAGTGTTGCTTACACAATATGGACACAAGCATTGGGCTAAACCTGTTAATCTCTGAATTTAGGTGGGGTTTTTTTTGCCACAGGTGTATAAAATCAAGCCCTAACCATGTATTCTGCCTTTACAAACATTTGTGAAAGAATGCGTTGTTCTAAATGTGGTATTGTAAAGATGCTACCTTTGCAAATAGTCAATTTAGGACATTTCTTCCCACTAAATATTCCAGGATCAGCTGTTGCAAAGTGGAAATGTTTAGGAACCATAGCAACTGAGCCACAAAGCAGCACACCACGTAAAGTTACAGGGCGGGATCGTTGAGTGCATAAAAGTCAAAAGGTTTTGCTGACTTAATAACTGCAGAGCTCCAAATGTCCTGTGGCGTTAACCATTGTCTGTCACGGTCACTGCTCAGCACAAAGTTTTGATTATAAAGGGAATGTTTAGGAAATAAGTCTAAACCTCGGCTTTGTTTCCCATATATTGAGCTATATGTTCAAAATGACATTTAAACCTCGAACCGATTAGCGAACCCTGCATTTATGTGCTCCCAGGAAATTATATATATTACACAACCATTCTCAAGCTGTTCTTTGACTTCATGTGCTTTTAACTCAGCATGTGAAAACCAAATAGAAGCTAAAATAAGATGTAGTCATTTTTATAAAAACTATTTTTTAAATACGTGATTCCAAGAAAATAACTACCTTGGCTGAGGTGTTGTCAAGGTTACGGCTAATAAATAACTCTTCCAACTAACCATGGTAACTTTGTATGGATGCAAAGTAAATGTTACAAGTTTATACCACACTAGAAATTAAATGTTAGCGAGAAAGTTGATATTTATTAAATTCATTTCTTTTTTTAGTGTCCGCAACATATTTACTCTCTTCTGCCATGTTTTTATTTATGGCTGTGCCAACTGTTCTTGTGGGTCACTCGCCACTTTAATGTTTTATGGGGTTTATGTGCAGGCAGGAAATAGCAACTTTTTTTTACACTTTTGCTTTGATATCTGGGCTCATTCTGGGAACTCATCAGCTAGTCTGCCTATGTAGTCTCAGGGAATGATTGCCATTCCCGCTGTGAGGATAGCAGATAGTTTGAGACTTTCTTTTTATATGTGGTGGTCATTTTTTTTCTAATGCTGTATCCCATAGTGTAGTGGTTTACGGTGACCTAATAAGTGAAAGGTCCATGGTTTCATCTTGGGAGGAGAGAAAAATCCCTTGGGAGTTGTATCAGGAGAGTCATCTGGTGTAAAAATCTGCCAAATCAAGGATGCGCAGCTACCTGCTGTGATGACCTCATGTGTGAATAAGGAAGCAGCAGAAAGTGGCTTTTAATGGAACGTTAAAGAACGTTAAAGAATCCCCAAATGATGGTTGATGGCTTTAAGATTGCTTTGCGGCAGTCCTTTGTCCTCTACGCTTACTCAGACATGATTGGTAAACAATAAAAGCCAGAACGCTTCAGATTGTGTATGTTCATATTCTTTATCGAAACGATTGTGTGAGCTGTAGAGAAGCTAGAGTGGAAATTTTCCTTACATTCCAACAGATTTTAAACCAGTTCAGTTATTTTTGTCTTTGTTAGGTGGGAATTCAGATGATAATTATGATCAGTAATACTTCCAGGTCTGTCCATAAGTGAAACTGTTTTTTACCCTTTACGTTTTATGTATATGAACCTAGTTAGTGTATTGTAGATAGAAAACTGTAACAGGAAACACACACACGATAGACAATATAAATGTAAACATTGATACTGAAATTCAATATGTCAAAGGAATGTGAATTATACACTAAATACACAGTTATAGTGAAGACAGTAGGTGAAACCAGCAGTATGCTTGCTTGTACTGCAGAAATAGTGTTTGCTTGAGCCATTCCTGAGCATAGAACTCTTTGAGTTAATCGTCAGATAATTTCATGAATACTTAATGTAATAGACAAATGTGTAAAGCTGTTTCTCCCACACTAATGTCCTCCTCCAAACAGGATTAAAATGCAGACTGGCGTTTGTTCATCGAAGCCGACCACCAGTCTGTTAGTATTGTTCTGATTCCAGGGGTACACTAGAGTTGTCTTGAAAATCATTAAAGCCGTTAAAAATGACTATCTAAACAAGTGAATAATAGCAGCAGGCATCCCGTGGGCTGCCCTGTTGTAGTCCTTGGAGGATTTCCCTCAAAAATAAATCAGATTATAATGAGGCAGATTGTGCTGCAACAATACAACGAGTGGTTAAACTGAAACGGTAATGCGTCCTCTGAGTTCTTGGTTGCATTTAAATTTCCACGCTTTTCCCCCTGACTGCAGCCCCTTCAGTACGCTAACGCAGCGCTGCCTTCAAAACAAACCAGAAGAAAAGGTGTATGTCTGCTTATTCACTGTTTATCTCCTTTTTTGTTTTGTTCCCTTTCAGTGTGTCAGATTCTACCCAAAGGCGTTGTCTCTGTGATAGGTCCCGCCTCCAGCCCCGCCTCTGGCTCTACTGTCAGTCACATATGTGGGGAGAAGGAGGTGAGCGTGGAAGATAAACATGTCTCATAGCTTTTCCCGTCCTGTTTGCTACCATTGCTGCTCATGTAGGTCTGATGAATGTTGACTTGCTTGTTCTGTTCCTTCTGATATAATTAAGCTTCACCCACTACTTCGTGCTGCTTTCTTACTTCTTTTTATTAAATGCATTTTTTGGCGTAGGTCCCTCCGTTTTCTGCCCTTCCCACCTTTCTCATCTCCGTTCTCAGCCTCTAGCTACTCAAATGAATCATCCTTAATCACCACAGATCTGTGTTTTCTTGCCTTTCTTATTAGTTTCCTCTCCTCTCATCAGATTCCTCATGTAAAAATTGGACCCGAGGAAACTCCTCGCCTGCCGTACCTGCGCTTTGCGTCTGTTACTCTGTACCCTAGCAACGAGGACCTGAGCCTGGCCATTGGAGCCATCTTGCGCTCATTCAGCTACCCCTCAGCCAGCCTGGTCTGCGCCAAGGCTGAGTGTAAGTACATGCTGCGTGTTGTATAGTTAAACAGTTTATTATGTGTGACTGCGTGGCTGTGTTTGTATTTAGGTGGGTGTAAATGCATCGGCAGTGTCGCTGCGTGCCCGATTACCTCACGTACTGTATGTGTATGTTTGTGTGTATGTGCAAATTGCTCTGTGGGAGTGTTGGCAGATTCACTGTTACACTGTTTGGGCGGATATGACTGTTTGGCGCTGCTGGACATTCATTTTTGACAGTCTGGTCATGAAGTTCTGTCTGTTGTCAGAGTTCAGAACATGGCTCATGCTGCAGCCCTCCCAATTATTACTCATGCTTATGCACACTGTCTCTTATCCACCTCAGAGGGTTGTTAGGCCAAACCAGTATAATAAATATTCTTGTTTAAAATGCTTTCCAGTATTGGAGGAACTTAGGGGACATTTGATTTAACTTTGCCTGGCACTCAGAGAGCTTTAACATCACAGGGGATTCAGGGCTTAGCCACTCGCCCTATTTATTTTCATTTTGAAAGAGTGTGTTATTGATTTATAATGCACTCCCCAAACCAGAGCCTAAGGAATTAAAGCGCTTGGCAGGATGATGACTAGTATTAATAATAGTATTGTAGTATTCAAACACTTTGTGATACAAACACTTTTTTTTTAAATAGTAGAGGTGTAATGGTTAAAAAAATCAACAAAAGAACCCCCCGCGGTCTCTTGCTTTTCTGTTTTCCCTTTTTCTGATAACCTTCCCGTTGCTGTAGACATAAAAAGTTAAGTGCAGCAGCTCAGTGCAAGAATGTAAACGCAGACAAAACAGAAGGATTATGTGACAGAGACACCTCGGGAGGAATAAGTGACAGTTGTGGCAGAGAAGAGGAGGAATCGCTTCATCATTATAGTAAACTGAAGGGAGCGTATGGCATGTTAGCCAAGCTTTGTGTTGTTTTCTTGTTGGTATAAACAGCATGTTTGTAAATATATGATGGGTAATAGTGGTTGAGAAAAGGCTCACGTGTCCTGTTCTTATGTTGTTTGTGCTAGTTAGCCGTGTGGAGGTTCTGTGGCAGTCTGGTAGAAGCCTAAATGTTTAAAGATCATAAGAACATAAACTCAGTCTGTTAGTTTTGTTAATATATAACTCATACAAATATGATAAAATGTCCTCCTCCTGGATATGAGCTGTATACTATAAACTTAGCAGGCACTTTATTAACTCATTCACTGCCAGCCATTGGCAGTGAATGAGTTAAACCCATTGACTCATTCACTGCCATTGACGGCTATAGACGTCAATGGCAGTGAATCGATTGTTAGTGTAATTATCTATTCAGCCTATTCAGCCAATCACATGGGAGCACCTCAGTGCTCCCATGTGATTAGACATGTAAAGATGGTCAAGATGTCCTGCTGGAGATCAAACTGAGCATCAGAATCTACTTGAGTCTTCTTACACAGTCATCTCCAGCGTTTACAGAGAATGATCTGAAAAAAGAGAAAATATCCAGTGAACAGCAGTGCTGGGCGAAGATGCCTGTTGATGTCAGAGGTCACGGAGAGGAAGGTATGCAGAAGAGCATCTCTGAAAGACATGAAACATTGAAGCTCCAGCAGCAGAAGACCACATTGGATGTCACTCCTATCAGGTAAGAACAGGAAACTTTGCATGGGCTCACCAAAACTGGAAACAACTGGTTTCTTCAGCATGACTGCACTCAAATGGCCTCCACAGTCCTCAGACTTCAGTCCGATAGAGCACCTACTGGCATGTAGTGGAACGGGAGATTCACATCATGGATGTGCAGCTGACAAATCAGCAGCAACTGTGTGATGTTATGATGTTAATATGGATAAAAATCTCTGAGAAATGTTTCCAGCACCTTGTTGAATCTGTGCCATGAAGAATGAAGGCAGCTCTGAAGGCAAACGGGAGCCCAACTTGATACAATTCAATGAGATCTTTCTCCAGTTTCTAATCTCATTTATTACAGCACAATGATCAGGTTATAAATTATGGTCTTCATTAGAGTCACAAAGGAGGGTGATTCAGAAAATGCTTTGGGGCGGGCTTACATTGTGAGTGACAAGTCACTACACGAGAGATCCACACCCTGCTTGTCGTGTCTGCTTCCAAAACAGGTGACAGCAGAAATACTCGAGACTTCACTAACGGGATGGTTGTCATCACTATGTCTTTGTCCTTCTTTTATATGCAGTCTATGGATATGATGCAAAAATGTGGCTCAGAGATCAGTGTATAAATTGAATCATTCCACCCCTATTAAATACATGACAGCATATGCCTACGTTCTCTGCAAATCCTAATTTTTCCACCAAACTTTTTGTCCACTTCTCTGCAAAAACGAGTTGGTATAATTTGTTTTGCAGCTTTTGACTCCTCACACCAGCCACGCGAAACCGTCCAAGAACAGAAGGGCACTTACATAAAGAATTAGTGGGACCACTGAAGTCTGAACACATCCCTCGGCAGTGGTAAAAGGGTAGTTTTGACAAACAAAAAGCTCTGACATTATGAAAAATTGATTCAATCACTGAGATGCTTTCATTATCTTTCCAGCAGTTAGCCAGCGGTCCCCTGGTTTCCTGAAAGTAAGCTGAATTCCTTGTGGACTTGTCATTTCATTGAACCAAGAGAGCTTTGAAATGGCATCAGACACCTTTTTCAGTTTTGATCATCTGTTGAATGGGTAGATAAGAGCCTTGTCTTTTACCGGGCTTTTTCTCTCATAATAATTAGAGGCGGCAGATTGCCTGATAGTTACCGTGTGGGTCAAAATGCACAGCTTTTACTGGTGGAGGAACTGAAGAGTGCATTTTTGTGTAATATATTTGGCTTGAAGGTGATCTTTACAAGGTTATCGCACTCACAGACTCTGACCCACTTGGCTGCGCTATCTATCGCCGTGGAGCTGGTTGCCATGGCTGCCGAATAGGTGCTAACTGCCACTCAACAGGCTTGTTCCACACTATGAACAACTGTGTGGGTGTGTATGTGACACTGTTTGTGTGTGTTTGATGTCATTTTTCTGAGTGTTTGGTTCACTTTGTCTGTACATGTGCGGCAGCGCAGGACTGTGTGTGTGTGTGTGTGTGTGTCCGCACACAGGCAGTGGGTTTTGGGTTACTTGTATGAATGTCAGCGTGTGCTTTTGTGTGCGGCGGCTCTGCTGTGGCGCTGCAGAGGTTAAACATCAGACAATGTTTACCGCTCAGCCCACTTGTTTTATTCATCATGTTTACACCAGTGTAAAGTGAATTCTGTCTTTTATTTTTTATTTATTTTTTTGGCAGCAAAGTAAGTAATGCGCAAAGTCACACATTTTGCTTACACCCACCATAGATGTAGATCCTAATTAAGGCGTGTATTTAGAATCGGGTCAGTTTTGCAACAGCGTCCTAATGGCTTTAATCTAATTTATCCGTCTTTTAGCCAGATATTCTGTTAAATGAGTCAGAGATTTTTGGGTCATTTCCGATGAATCCTTCTCTCGCTGTGCCTGGGTCAGTACTTGCTATCTGAGCCTAATTCCATTATGCAGTTTTCATGAGATGGATGAGGTTAAGGACAGCGAGAGGGAGAGACTGAGCACAAGGAGCAGAAGACGGTGGCAGTGTTGGAGCAAGATGGATAAAGACAGAGAGAAGTAACTAGAGCACAGGGCTAAGACAGGAGAGATAGAGAGGTTAGAGCTTCTCTGCGCGAGAGAATATGTGAACGAGGGAAAGTGAGAGAGGGGAGTAGAGGAAGCTGTAAAGTGCATTGATTTTTTTTTCTTCTTCCCCCTCCTTCCTCAAACTAATTAAAGTTTTGGCCTGGTTCAGTGATTACCCCACTGCTTACAGAGGCTTTCTCCTGCTGAAGGGCTCTGTGTGCTACCTCTTCCCTCCTCTGCTCCTTTCTCTTCCCTTCCCTTTGTCCCACAGATGCCTGCCCCACCATTTATTTACATAGCTAGGGGTTCTTTACTATGGAATTACAATTAGGAGGCATCAGAGCTGACTTTCTAGTAAAGGCTTATTCCACCCATGTTGTCAAGTGAGTCTTGACATTGGTTGGACTCATATTCGAGAGGAATTTGCTTGAAGTGTTTTAAGTACTTTATTCCAGTCTTTCAGCTTCTCTTTCTGCCCATCTTCTATTATTTTTTTTGCCATAGGTTTTCATGATTATTGCAGGTCCAGTTTTGCTATTGGAGTGTAAGATTTTCCATTTTTCGAGCACATGCTGTTGTACTCAAAGTGCATAGTGTACATTACGCAGAGATCCGAAAAGCATTAACTGAAGGATGAGACAACGCAGGCAAAGTGCATTACAAAGCACTCAAAGAGCACATAACTCTGCTGAGGCTGCACGACCTTCTGAATTTATTATTCTATTAATAAAATGTTCGGAAATTTGTCATGTTGATTGGTTGATGGCGTCCATCAATTTTGGAGGATACCTAAAACCTGTCTGGGAATATTAGGGCTTTGAACAGAAATAAATTTCTATTGAGGCAGACTCACAAGAACCAAGTTTTGTGTGTGTGTG